AAAATTCTTTACATAAATGAATGTCTCACCATCCTCACTTTGATACAATAACTTAATCCGAAACATAGGAATTTATTACATGTGCAACAAGAAATGCCCCTATAAATAGACAGGGCACAAATGTGACAGCATGATACCAAAAGGCAGGGCACAAAAGTGACAGAGTGATACCAAAAGGCAGGGCACAAAAGTGACAGAGTGATACCAAAAGGCAGGGCACAAAAGTGACAGAGTGATACCAAAAGGAAGGGCACAAAAATGATAGAGTGATACCAAAAGGCAGGGCACAAAAGTGACAGAGAGATACCAAAAGGCAGGGCACAAAAGTGACAGAGTGATACCAAAAGGCAGGGCACAAAAGTGACAGAGTGATACCAAAAGGCAGGGCACAAAAGTGACAGAGTGATACCAAAAGGCAGGGCACAAATGTGACAGAATGATACCAAAAGGCAGGGCACAAAAAGTGACTGAGTGATACTAAAAGGCAGGGCACAAAAGTGACAGAGTGATACCAAAAGGCAGGGCACAAAAGTGACAGAGTGATACCAAAAGGCAGGGCACAAAAATGATAGAGTGATACCAATATGTTATCTCTGGTTCATAATCCGAACCAAAATGATAATTACCAGCTGTAAAATTAATCTCATACTAACACTATATGAACATGAACTTGAATGTTCACTCCTTACCTCACCTTAGTTTTACAATATTAAGCAAAATTTTACACAAAAATTTTTATGTCATTCTTACCACTGTTGCTATGTTGTTTATTTTCTGGGTGTCAAGCAATGTGAACTGTCGCCCTTTGACTTCTTCACTTAGGGGTGCCTGGAGCCTAGGAATTGGCCACTGGTGGTTTTCTTGTAGCAGGCAAAGTTCAGCTGCAGTGACAGCAAGGCCTACTGGACGCTGCTCATCTTCATCTGGTTCAAAGGATTTAAGAGTTCGAGTAAAAGAAGAAGAATTACAAGCAATATCAGAGTTAGGAAACAAAACACAGGCAATTCTAATGTAAAATAGAGGTACTGTCAATCTACTATTAGAAAGAAATAATCAGCATGCTGATCAAAAACCAAACCACATTAATATCTGGTAATAACAAGATATTGATTCCTTCACATGTTTGCTGTTACTTTCATTGTAATATCAGCTGTTTGGAAGGTTCTGATCAGACTGATAGCATGAGGATGACCATGGTTAGATGAGTAGACAATACATACATAACACCTTCATGTTTCTAGAAATATTTCAGTGTGGCGAGACAGTATAAAAGAATGGAAGCTCTGTAGTCAACTTTTATAAAATGAGTGCTAATTATGACTGTTCCTTTGTAGACTTACCTGCATCAATTGTCTGATGACACGATAAATAGCGCACCAACACATAATTGTCATCTTCAATTATCTCCCCTTCCTCCAAATCGCTGGCAATGATGGCGGCCCGTAAGTTGTCCAATGTTGTGGCATTGTATTTGGATATTCCCTCCAGTCGACTGCCATTACTGAATGCTGTACTTTGAACAATACCTAGACAACAGAAAAGCCTCAGAGTATGTAACCTCCAACAAATTACAGTATACACTTATTTAAAAACAAGACTTACATCACAGTAATAAAAAGGTCAGGGGTCAGAATTGGTTACTTCCTGTCATGTTTTTCACAGCAAGCTACTGTTGATATCTATGACAATGAACTTCTAGCCAAACAATTAGTGACACATTTGTTACTGCATTTAAATACAACAAAAGGGTAGCTTCTGTCAACATTTCAATTTGAATTATCCATAACAAATAAGGAAAAAAAGTTTCACAAAGAAATTGGTAATACAAATAAAAAATAATTCAGTCAAACTCCCCTAAGTTGTCCCTTTAACCCTTTACAAACCAATCACCTCAGCAAGCACTATACCTAAACTCATTAACAGTAATCATCCACATGTAGGTATATTTACTTTTTATATATGTATATATTACAAGTTCATCACCTCAGCAAGATATGGCCCCTCAACAAGCTACTGCAGAGCCCTAATATACTGTGTCAATGTTTCATGTCTTATCAGAAGAAATTGTTATAGGTTTTCAATACATTCAACCTCTGTGGATTACAATAAGATGCATGCAAATCATCTTAATATTCTTTCTTTTCTCTCTTGAACAGAAGTAAATGAATCAATGTTATCAGATAGCTGATAGCAGATGGCATACTAAAAGCTGTTAATGGACAGAAATAGGTCAATTGCTATTTGGGTCACCTCCTCTATCAATTGATACTGAGAACAAGGGATGAGGGGAGTGATAAATAACATACAAAATATTTGTTTGTTTGACAGGTTGATCAGTGAATACCGAAGTTATTTTGAGGTGGGGTATCCTTGCAGTAGCTGGCGTATACCTTACCGAACAACATGTGTGAGGCCAGACACAAGATCTTCAAAGCATGCTGGATGGAGTGTCTTGCACAATGACACAACAACACCAGCAAAGGATGATCAGTTATATCAGCTTTCCATGAATTCCCAAACAACCAAAGCAGGGACTACAAACCACCCACCTTGTTTGTGATTTCTACTTACTGAACTGTTGAAGTCCCATACCAAATACTAATATGTCCATGAATTCCCAACCAACCAAAGCAGGGACTACAAACCACCCACCTTGTTTGTGATGTTTACTTACTGAACTGTTGAAGTCCCATACCAAATACTAATATGTCACCCTAATACATAAATTTCACTTCCTATTTACCTGTAATGAGGCTGATGTATGTTTTGCATCTCTTCTCATCTCTGATTAGAAAGGTGTAGCTAGAACACTCTGTATCAAACTCAAACCGCAGCGTCTGGTAACCAAGACCGATGTCAATGTATTGCAGCTCGGTGATTGGTTGGTTTTCTATACAGCTTAAGGACATGTCCACAGAGTCACTGCTAAAATATCAGAATGTTACATAGTTGAGTGACTTTTGCTTTCATTTTAAATGTGGTTGGCACAATTTTACATGGAATGACTTAGTGCTTTATGTTTATGTTAGAATATTTTGCTGTATTGTTTATGTTTCTAACCAAACATCAAGCAAAATGTGCTGGATTATTTTTACCATCCAAAATCTTCAATTTACAATTTTGACAAAGTGTAGAAAATCAATTGCATAATCTGGACCTGACAAGGTAAACTTCATGGTAAACTGGATATCCTAAGTAATGCTACCAATTTGTCAATTATAGAGTAGGGAACTTCTCTCCTGTTAGCTAAACTTTGTCAGGTTCCCTGATTGGTTGTTTCAGACAGACTAAGTTCTATCGAGGCTACAAACCAAACGCACGCACGCACGCACCCCCTCACACACACACACACACACACACACACACACACACACACACACACACATATATATATGTTAACTATCATTTGATCTAGGCTAGACACCATGTACATGTATATATATATGTTAACTATCATTTTATCGAAGCTAGAAACCATGTACATGTATATATATATATATTAACTATCATTTGATCAAGGCTAGACACCATGTACATATATATATATGTTAACTATCATTTTATCGAAGCTAGAAACCATGTACATGGATATGTATATGTTAACTATCATTTGATCGAGGCTAGACACCATGTACATGTATATATATATGTTAACTATCATTTGATCAAGGTTAGACACCATGTACGTGTATATATATATGTTAACTGTCATTAGATCAAGGCTAGACACCATGTACATGTATGTATATATGTTAACTATCATTTGATCAAGGTTAGACACCATGTACGTGTATATATATATGTTAACTGTCATTAGATCAAGGCTAGACACCATGTACATGTATATATATATATGTTTACTGTCATTAGATCAAGGTTAGACACCATGTACGTGTATATATATATGTTAACTATCATTTAATCTAGGCTAGACACCATGTACATATACCGTATTTATTCCATAAATGCCCTGTCTCTAATAAACGCCCCCCACCTGTTTTCTCAGTAAATTTCAACAACTCAGGAGTCAGGTTACAAAGCTAATAACCGCCTAGCTGTATTATTCACATCCCAGAGTTTTTTTAACCAAAATTTTTTACTTTCCTCGTTTGCCCAGGATTTTTGTCTTGCCCCGCACATGTATACCACAATACCACTTGGTATGTCATCTTTCGGAAGGGGACGAATGCCTGGTATGTGCAAAAGGGGGGCGATTTTAGTCCCATTGGCATATGCTGCCAGTGTCACTGTTATTTTTTGTTTTTCGCGGCCAGTACTGTAAACTCTGACCTCCTTTTCCTTCTTTATTGCCATTGACGATTTTCCTGGCATGTCAAACCACACCGGGGTTTCGTCCATGTTAGCGATATGGCTATCGGGGTATTCTCGTAGCCAACACATTCTTAACATGAAATTAAAAAAACTGTCAATAAAATCATCAATTAATGAAACTTCATGTTGTGCCACATGCGTAGATCGCCTGAACGAAATGTTATGTCTCTTTTTGAATTTAGAAAACCATCCATATGAGGCTTTGAACGATTGACTACCATTTGCCCTATGCATACGCAGGGCCTCAAACCGCAATGCTTTCCTAGTCACTCGTATTCTGGCCTCCCGTCTGTCCTGTAGCCATCTCATCAGATTTTTGTCAATATCTTCATATCTGACATGCCTCCCACCTCCTTTACAGCGTTTAGATGTTTTAGAAAGATTTTAAAATTTTTCTTTGTTTTGACACCAGTCCCGCACTCGTTTTCTGTCAACACGAAACACTTTCACAGCGGCATGTTTACCCTTCTCCTTTGCGAAGGCGATTACTTTAAGCTTGAAAGCAGTGTCGTAATTTGGTTTCGTCCCTGACATTGTTATCAGGTATGTGGGATTTATTAAGAAACAGACTGGCTTATATACCGCTGTGTTTTTTTATTTTGTTATGCAAACTAGGCCTACAAGCGATGATGAACATTGTACGTTTTTGATTGAAGCTGACACGACTGACATCGTGTCATTTCATACAAGAATTCAGGTTATCAGAATGCAATTGACAACAATGTTTAAAGCTACAACGATGTTAGAATTACTGCAATTTTCAAATGCATTCTTTGCTGAGTAATTCGTTAGTTTGTTAAACAATGTTTTTAAGTGGCAGCCATGGCATGTCATGACCAACAAATTATGAAATTTTGTGTTCTATTAATCGCCCTGTCTGAAAAATCTCACGCCCCCGGGGCATTTATTGGAATAAATACGGTATATATATATATATATATGTTAACTATCATTTGTTTGTATTGATAAATACAAATACCTTGAGAATTCCGCCAGTATTTTCAGTATTATGATTTTGGAGTTGGTGAAGACAATGACACCCTTAACAGGTTCTGAGGACATGTACTGGATTATATCACACTACAACATACAAAAATCATACTTTTAAAATAATGAGAAACTCTGATAACTCTTTTACAATAACACCCAACTCTGGTTTAAATTGTGAGATTTATCACTGTAGGAGATTTTCTTCTACAAAGTACAGAAAAATGAAACAAGACAATTAGATAATTACCTACAGAGATGAGCTTTGACAGATGCAATAATGTAACAAATGGTTGTGGATATCCTTGGTTCTGAGAAAATTAACTGGAGAACAGTAAGCTCCTGTGACTAATATATGATCCTTCATTACAAGTTTCTTTTATCGAAACATAATGATATACCAGTTTCTGACATTTCCTTTTTCACATGATTGTTACTAATTTTACCTGAAGAGCACACTGACACTCGTCCCCATCCTCCAGTATATTCATCATCAGGTAGAGCTTGAGGCGGTGATCCACGGTGGTGAAGTCCACATCCTCCGCTGATGCTAATACTGTTGTAGATGTCTCACCTTCATCTGACATCTCCATCTGGTTTCCATTAGTGCTACCATGTGAAAACTGCACTTCTGTACCGTTCTCTTGATCAGGCACCACGCTTTGGTTTTGGGTAGTCAGAGCTGAATGGAATTCATTAGTTATATTATCAATTTCATCACTAGTATCCTGTGTTGAGGATGTGCGGTGTTCATTGTCCACATTGTTGTCATAAATACTGTCGTTATTGTAAGAATTATCATATATACTTGTGTCATTGTCATTTTCTCCATTGTTGTTGTCCTCCACTGCCACAGGAAGTTTCTGATTCACCATATTTCTATTTTCAATCAATGAATTTATGTCCTCTTCACTGGCTGTCACCAGTGAGTTCTCATACACACTTGACACCATACTGGAACATACACTTGTTGACAGAGGAGAACCAATAGGAGTTATCTCCCCTTGCTCTTCAGCAATGCCATTCAAATTGACTTTCTTTGATGAACCCAAACTAGATGCATGTGCCCCACTATTAGACATTGGCAGTGGTAGGTCTTGCTTAAACACACATTGACCTTGATCTTTGTCTGTGACCTTGACCTTGGGATCTGGGAGTGTTTCAATACTGGACTCGGAGATAACGGCTACACTACTCTCACTGGTGTTAGTGAGGATGGTAATGTCACTGTCCACTGATGTTCTATGTTGTAATGTCTTGTGTGAGAGTGCTTTGTTTATATCTGACCAAGAGCAGTTCCTCTGGAAAGCTTTATTCTCTGTTGGGGTGGTTACACTCTGTTCACCAGTCACACTGGATGAGGACTTAGTCATGCGTTGCAGCTTCTCAGCTTGATCTTCTGTCCTGGAGAAGCCATCTGAGCGTGACATCACAACAAGGGAGGGTAATGGATGCTCAGGTTTAGATTCATCTGTAATGGACCATTTCACTGTTGTCACTGACATTATAACAGTCAAAGGAAATCTGCACAACTAATTTAGAATGATGGAACCAATGTTTAAAATACCACTTGAAAATCAAAGATTAAAAAAAGAAAAGAAAAAATATATAATAAAATACTATAATTTTGCATTAAAATTGTGAACACACATTTATTAACTTCTCGTCAAACAAATAATGATTACTAAATAAATAGATTTCATTTAATACAAACCTTGGCATGACAAAGAAACACGTCGTTCTGCAGCATCATCCTTTAATGGGGTGGACTTAGCAACAGGAGAACCAGTGATTATATCATCTGTGCTGCTGACAGAGACAAAGCCATTCATCAGGGGACAAGATATACAGTGAGTCCTATCAAAACCAACACTGGATCAACATGTTTCAATTTACCAACATACTGAGTGAGACATAGTAAAATTGTTTCATAAGATACTCTCAAACAACATGTTGAAATATCTGTATACTTAATATAAACTAAGCAAACTATCAATGAAACAGCATGTGATCTGATCATCAATCAAAACAGAATAACATGCAAGAGCACATTTTATTTTAGTTTATAATACGTCAAGAATGAGGTCAGAATATAAGAACGGAAATTAAATAGGAAGTTATGAGTGACATTTTTATTTGCCTAGCTGTTGGTGTATAGTGTGTTTACCAGATTCCTTGGTTGTCATCAAACTTCTGTTTGACTGGAGATTCCAGATCTGTGCTAATCAGAGAGTCTCCAAGTTGTGGGGAGCCATGACCAGTCTTCACAGGTGACTGTGAGGAAGAGAACCTTTTATTGCTGGCTCCACCTGTAATGCCATTGTAGCTGGACACAGATGTATAGGAGCCAATAGGTGTATTCTGATGTGATGAGGATTTCTCATGCGTGTCCACCTGTACTACTAACTGACTTTTACATTTAGGACATTGGTATTTTACAGGGGCATCTGGAAAGAACAATAGCATTTAATTTGATCTTGATTAATTATGCTTATTCCTTGACAAATTAAGTCATGTGAAGATAATCTTTTTAAAGGTTTCACAAAATGCAAAAAAGTATCAAAATGTTCAAAAGCTGTATTTCTCATCATTATAGAATATAATGTAATGCATGTTGATAATAAATATCTTCAGAAATGAGGAACAAGTATTTTGTAACATTATGATGTATGACTGTCTATCATTATTATTCACTGTCATTTATTATGTTCCAGTATATAACTTTCAATGTATTAGAAGTAATAATAATAAGGCTGACAATACTGAACCCTGTAATTAGTTATTTGTCCTGAGGATCTTTTAGATCTCTGACAATACTACACCCTCTGATCTGTTGATTGTCCACTAATTGTTTTGTAATTTTTATTATAAGATTTATTTATTTTAACTTTGACCACTAGCTGGAAATATGAACTTTGCTAGGATCAAAATACTGTAATCAAAGTTATAAGATTAAAAGCAGCATTTTGAGACAGGTGATGTCTCTTACCTTGTGTGGAACTGTTTCTGGACAAAGTCTGTAATAAGGAGATCTGTGACGGTTCAGCTTCTGACTTGTCAAACTGGGCAGAACACTTCAAACACTACAACAAATAGATTACAAATCAGGACCGGAAATTTATAAAGCATTCAAAAACACACTTGATAAAGGGACAACAAGAAACTATTTTCTCACTGTGGCAATTGTATCTAAGAAAATTGTGTACTTTGTATAAATCTGTTCTAATAAAGAGTAAAAAATTCAAATGAACTGGTCAAGAGTGATAGCAAAATATTAATCATTATCATTAAACTGTATAATTTTCAAATGGATATCCGTATTAAAATGCTTCATAATTGTACCTGAAGAAGGCCTTGTAATTTTCTGTCCAATTCTTTTTCTTCCAGACAAGGTTGCAGTAACAATTGAAAACTCTGTCAATGAAGATTTGTGATGGTATTTAATATCAGTAATAAATATTTAGACTTATATTTGTTTTATAGAAAGCTTCTCAATCAAAGTCATACATCTATCAACATATAGGTATAAATATACTACAAATTCAGTAAAAACTCCTTTCAGTCTATAATTTCAACAAGAAAGAACATATTTAGAGGAATTATTGACATAATACTCATTTTTCCATAAATTGATTTCAAAGTATGAAATTCAAACACTGCAGTAATATTTTCAAATTCTCTGATCAATTTGTACCTTAGCATTGTCACCATCTTCCATTACATAAGTTCGCTCTCGTCTGTCTTTCCTCACATAATCAAACTTCATCTGCAGCACTGGTAATTTTACTTCTGACTCCATCCCCTCTTCTTGTGGCAAGGTATTATGGGAGAGTATGACATTCTGCAAACATTTTAGGTCCAGCATTTCTATGACCCGGCCATTAAGGTCCTTCTCAATTATGTAACGCTGGTTGACAGTCACGATGAGATGAGTGTCCTCCTGGTTGGGGAGGGTCACTATAAAAGGTTCACTCTCACTCCCTGTAATATTCAACAATAAAGAAATCTTCTTAAGAGTAATCCACAGTTTCCTTGTACTGATGAAGGAAGGGCTGTAACTCTTGATATACAAATGCAAAATATACAGTGAATATTCACTGTATGCCACTCTACTGTCACAAGAAGTACAGTTGTATTTACATACAATATTTGATATTTGGAATTGTAGGCGGTCAACGTGAGATAAATGTCCTTGAAAATGAAATTCTCAGACTGCCGCTGGGTAGTAAGTTGATGTTTGTTTGGTGAGATTTTGCTGTCATAATATAAATTAACTGGGTATATAAACAACACTTACCATAATATTGCTCCTGTTCCTCCTCTAGCCTTTGCCACTCTGCTCCATGGGAACTGTTCTGTCTTTTGGCCAGCATGGGCCCTTCCTCAGAGGGACTATCAATCATATTTCCATAAATCTCTCCTGAAGAGATCTCTCTTTGTATCACAGTTGTTTGGATATCTGGCAAGGTCATAGTCACAGAGGTAAGATATTTATTGCAATGTAGTCATGTGACGTGAAACATATAAACAAAAGAGTTAACTGTGATCAATTTCCTGTTTAATCAAATTACAGAGTTTCCCCTTGTACTCTTTCTAATTTCCAAATATGTTTTCACATGCCTTTGTAATATATCTGTATAATGAGCCGGTTCGATGAACACAATTCTAATATACACCTTGATATGAAGCAAAACTGTTTAAAATGATTTACCTTCCTTTTCTGATGTTAAAACCTCAATGTCATCATCCCCCTCAATGTCACTGTGATGACTACTAGCTCCATCTGGGATGTTGTCAGGAATTCCAGCAGTGCTATTGTTCAGATAAATATCATCCTCTGTTTTAACAATTGGTTCAGGTTTACTGACGGAAATTTCTGCCTTGACTTGCCGTTTCTTTGGCTCCACCGTGTGAACTTTAATCCCACTTTGTTTACTTTCCATGGCAGCAGCTTTGTTAGCATTGATGACCTGAAGCCAGTTGACACCATAATGGTCTCGTAACACCTCCACTTCATCTCGTATGCTAGATCTCCCCTCAATCACTCTTACTGGTGAACCTGCTACAAACACACACAAACACAAAATACAGATACTTAGACCTCTAAAAAAAAATTGCAATAGATATTAAATTTCCAACCTGAGACTTTTGACTATGATTCACCTCTAGGATCTTCTATATGAACTAAATTTTTGACACTTTACCAGGTATACAGATATGATTACTAATACAAGATTGTGAGATATTACCTGGTATACAGATATGTCTGACACAAGTGTGTGAGATATTACCTGGTATACAGATATGATGTCTGACACAAGAGTGTGAGATATCACCGGGTATACAGATATGATGTCTGACACAAGTCTGTGAGATATTACCCGATACACAGGTAAAGACACTTACATCTAGAGTTTTCTCTGGAAGAATCTGCATCAGTTGAGGATATATCAAGAAATCTTTCGTCGCCAGAAAAACGACTTTTGGGCTTTGATCGTCTACGTCCAGCTTTGCGTCTGATAGGTGAACCAATCTTTAGTGATGTAGCTATGCTATCGGAGTCATCAAACTTGTAGGCTCGCTCGATCCTCATACTGGTTCCTGACCTATCCATTCCAGCGATGATGGAGTGTGCCTCCTGAGAGGGACGTCGTGATGCTGTCATTACCCCCCTTTGTGTCAGCTGTTAGTAAAACAACCATAATCAAATTTCCAAGTTGACCCATTTTAATCACAAACTTTGTGTAAATAATCTGATGAATTGTACTGTATGAAATTTGAATTTAACATGAAAAGTGAAAGCAAAAATAACATTGAAATAAAAGATTTTGATTATTAATGATCCATTCATCATGCTCATATGAGAGGCCTTAAACAAAAACTGTATATGAACATGAAAATATAACGTCTACTTACCAATCTTTCAGTGGGACTAATAGCTTTGCCGTCCAGTGTAAACTGTAACAAGGATGTCAATTATCATAACAAATCAAGTAAGAGATTCATATTAATCCATGGTATCAGCATTCTGCCATTAAACATTTCTCATTATTTCAAATATACATAACACTGTATATATGTATCATGACATTAACTAACCAGAATGCTTAGCGAAGTGAATCAGGGGCTTTATATATCAATATTTACAGATGTCTGTTAGAGCCCCTATATATCTGTTTTCAGAGAAGGCAGTGTGGACCCCCATGTAATATTTTGATGAGCATATATGAGGAACTAACCACTAAACCTCAGTACTGAATTCCATACAGGTCAATATCCTACTTACTGTGTTCCGGGCAGCATTGGCAGTGACATGTTGCAGAGTTAATGATCGGTGACTTCGGTGGAAAGACAAGGGATTGCCCTGGAGACTAAGCTGAAAATAAAATATGTGTGAATTTTTATTAATATTGTATTAACAATCTGTAAAATAATTTAAGTACTAAAAAAAGTCTGATTACCATCAATAAATAAAAAGTAAAAGAAGAAAAAACCTAAGTGCTGTAATCTTAAATCATTGTAAAACACCATGAAATCCTTACCCTGTTGAGTTTGCTTAACTCAGAGAGTACAATGAGGCAAGAATGGTCGACTAGACAATTAGAGGACACGTCCAACTCCTCTAAACACACAAACTCCTCCAAACCTGTAACACAACAACAACAGAATATGATCAAAAATTAGCTACAAGTTAGTGAAGCAGACAATAAAGGTCACAGTGACTTACCTTTGATATCATTGTGAATTACTTATCAAGAGATATCTTACTTATGCAGTTACTCCTCTGTGGCTTTTCAAATAAGAGCAGGCATGATAACACCAATACAGGATTTAGGGATTGTGTTAGACTATACAATTATTTTGAAGGCATTTGATGGACTTCAAAATTACCTTAACCTAGAGAAAATTTGTGTAGGCAACAAATCTTCCTTTCCACTTCTGAACATGGGTCAGACTGCTAGAGTTAAGATAAGACATTATCAGACCTCAGAACCATCTTCTAAAACTAGAATAATCAAACATAACCACTACGGATGGTTCCGCCAATCTGAGGGGGATGCAAGTCGCCTCCTTACGTTATCAGAACACTGATGTTTGTTGGTGAGATGATACCCGGTAACGGGAGGAATCATGGAGACAGAAAACCAGTCAACCAACCAACAAAGACTTCTAGTGTAGTGTAAGATTTTTTGTAAAGGTCGTGAAAAAAGGCAGAGTTATCACTTAATGCTCCCTTTGTAGTGGAACTTCACTTACCTTCTAAATTATCTAGGTTGTTATTTCTCAAGATGAGTGTTCTGATCTTTGGTTTTGCTGAGATGGCAAATGATGGAAGACTATCTATACAATTATAGCCCAGGTTTACTCGGATGATTTCTGATAAAGTCTAAACAGAAACAAAAAGAATGAAATCATGTAATATTCTGTAATACCGGTCACAGTCAATACAATTATAGCCCAGGTTTACTCGGATGATTTCTGATAAAGTCTAAACAGAAACAAAAAGAATGAAATCATGTAATATTCTGTAATACCGGTCACAGTCAATACAATTATAGCCCAGGTTTACTCGGATGATTTCTGATAAAGTCTAAACAGACAGAAACAAGAAAAATAAAATCATGTAATATTCTGTAATACCAGTCAGTCAATACAATGGCAACTTTACAGTCCTGTATACTCATTTTAATAGCACAGAAATTGTTCATTCATGTTTTTAATACTATTTATAAAATAATTTGTATTATTTCTAACACCTTTATTATCAATCAAACAATAATGTAAAACATACAAAAAGCAACCAATTTTCACTGGTCTCAAAGGCGGACACTAGACAGGTTTGACTAAAACATTGAATAAGATCCCAGCAGGACCATGAACTTTCCATTACATAATTGTTCTGGAATCTGTGCTGACACCTATCCATTGAGGATTAGAAAAGGCCACATTCCATGATTCCTCTGTCAAAATGATATGTGCCTGATCTCTCAACATTTACAGTGTCATCTTACCTCTAGGAAGCCTTCAGTCTTGTACAGTTGATTGTGGCTGAGATCTAAGACTTCTAAGGCTGACAGTAATCTCTGACAAAAGAATGGAGATTAAATTAGCTTTTAAGAAATATTTTGCACAACAAAAACTATTTCTAATGCCTCTGAATCAACACAATATGACAGTAGTGTAGCTTGTACAGAGTACAACACTGGGAACGTTTGAAAAAGAGTGTATGTTTCATTGTTTTCTATTTCAGATGAAGCTCAATATAAGGCATGCTTATCAAGGAACTATACTGCTAAATATTCTTAATTGTAATAGTAACTCTTCAGTGATAGCTTTACCACATTTTAAATGTCAAAATTTCAAATGGTGACCAACAGCCATCTCGAATATCCAATGAGTTCAAAATGTTGCACTCAATGTATAGTCAATACTTAAAACGTTTTTCCAGATTCAAACAGTAACCTTCAGAAGTTTTTCGAAAAGAGCAGAAACAAACTACATATGACAAAATTCAAAATGGCAACTGGCACTCAATGGAAAATAAGCAATGTTATGCTCAACAAGAGACCCATGGGCCTTAACATCATCTGACTATAAAGACCTATATGTGCAAGAAGCCAAATAGACCTAGAAAAATTTCTCGGCTACTGTACAGATTACAAAGGAGACATTGTTGGTTCATAAAAACATTTTCTGCAAACTTGAAATCATATTCTTAACATACACAGATGTCTTTACTCTGAACCTACTGCTTGTTGAAAAAGATATTTTAATATCTCAACTCATTTAACCCAAGAGATCTTGAATATAGGTTAATGTCAGTCATTTGGAAGCAATTCATCCACTTGAAATTCACAATTTTGGTAAAGTACCTTAAGACACCTCCAACAATGAAGGGCATTTAATTCTACTATATCTGGGTGTTGAGAAAAAGATTGATTAAATCTGAGTCAATTTGACCACTTTTGGCCCTGCCCCTCAGGCTCCTGTAAGGTGGGGTCCTCATAATTAATCATTTTAGTTCATCTTAACCCAGGGAATGTTTCTGCAAGATTTCACTGAAATTGGTGCATAGGTTTTTGAGAAAAAGCAAAAAATGTTAACAATTCAAGGACACCAGACAAAGGTGATTGTAACCATTTTAGCAATTCTTAAGAAACAGTAGTAACAAACTTCAAATGGCAAAATTTCAAATGGTGACAGGTAGCCATCCTTAATATCTCATTAAACTCAAAATGTAGCATGTACATCTAGGACCCATATGTATCATATCTGTTAAATTCAAAGGAGACTTTGTATCTCATTTTTAACAAGCCTGAATCTCTTCATAAGATTTGTTCTCATCAAGCTTCATAAAGTATATGTAGTGATAACTGAAAAGTAGTCAAAATATGATAATTCACAAACCAAAGGCGAAATGGTACAAAAGATGAGTCATAGGTCAGTCTGACCTTCCTTGTTTCACAAATCTTCTTTAATCTTCACTACCATGGAAGACCATTATGTAAGTTATGGGAAAACTTAAATACAAGTAATTTTCTTGAAGTTATATGATGCTTTCCAATTGGGAATCTTAAGTTAAGGAAAATTCCTCAAGTTAAGGAAGATTTATGAAATTGGGGCCTAAATATATAGTGTTTCTTTTACATACCAAAGAGTTATCTAATCTTGGAAGGCCATTACAGCTGACATATAGACTAGTAAGCTGGGGCCAGGATATGGGGGCACTCTGATCACCTCCACATGTCTCCAGTAAATCCTATAAAGACAATGTTAGCATATTATATACACATATATAGTTCACAGCAGATATTGGTAAGAGTAAGTTCTCTTACTCTGAACAGGTGTATCTTATCTTCTCCCAAAGTGACATAATAAGAAACATCAATTCAATGGGTTGGATTAATAGTCAATTATCTGTAGGTATATGGGATTTGGATACTCTATGCCGGAGGGTGTTGAAAATCAGTCAGTATCTAAACCAAGGATTTGCTAAGGTTCTAAACTCATATCCTATACTATAGAGTAGAACATCCATATCCCACATATCTTTACAAAGAACATTACCAACGACACTTTTTTCAGGGTGTTGGGGTATTACCTTGGCTCATTAATAATTCAGAAGGTCTGTTCACATGGGTTATAAAAATTTTAATTCTTTACCACAAATTTGCTATAAAAGTGCATGGTCAAACAAATGCAAGTATAGATATTACAACGGCAATAAATATTTGTAATTATAATCACTGGATCATATTGTTTACCTCTAGATTCTGAAGACATCTGGCCACAATGAGGACTTTCAGCTGGCCTCTTAGTTTCTGCAGTCCATGCAACATGTGTACAGGGATTTTTTTCAACTCCAGAACTTCAATGTTTCTAAAGCGAGACAAATACACTGGTTCCTGCATTGTCTGTGCTCCATGTGTCAACTGCAAATATGAATCCAAATTCCACTTAAGCAACTTCAATTGTAACTAACATTCAGAAAGCTGATAATAAGTCAGCAAATGAAAAATACCTATACCTTCACAATATCATACTCTAGTAAGGCTAAGAGGTTCTTTGGTGTGCTATATGTGAAGTAACTTAAGTAAAATTTCTTTTCCTCAATAAGGTATAAAACAAAAGGCTTTAGGACTACCTTGACATACACCATTGTAGAATTTTCATAAAATTATGAGGGATCAATATTTCTGTCTGAATTTCATCTGTCTGAATCCAAAGTGGCTACATGCCAGCCATTTTGTTTATCTGATCAGTTTCAATTACCAACATGCACAACTATGAAACTTTGGAAACAACATATGAAATTAGAGATTTTATCCATGTTATGCTTTCTGAGAAATAGTGACAACAATCTTAAACTGAAACTTAAAGATAGCCACCTGCAGTCAGCCATTGTTTATCTCATCAATCTAAAATTGAAACAACCCTAAGAAGGGGCTCAGGGAAACCTCAGTATGAAATTTGAGGACAGAAAATCCTAAATTTGTTTTAGTAATCAGACTTAAACCTTAATTTTGCAGAACCAATGTTTAAAAGGAACCTTCCTATTAAGTTTGAGAAAGAACACTCAACTTCCTAATAACTAGCAATAACAAATTTCTTTTTTCAAAATCCAAGATGTTACATTAACATGCCTGACAAGTGTTAAAGAAGACCCCATACCAAAAATGAAGTTTGAGAAAGACCTTTGCAGAACTTTGAGAGAAATAGCTTTCAAAACTTCTGCAGCCAAAATCCAAGGTGACCATCTATTGACCCTTTTAGTTTCCAGATCTATTACACAACATTTGAAAAATAAACATTACCCAAGTGGTACTTATTTTACAACCATTGCAAAACTACTTTTTCCAACTTAAATCAATTGTTTTGTTGGCCTGGATGAAGCACACAAGGGGTCTTAAGTTACTTTGGGAGGAAACCAAAGTATCCACTGAAAACCGACATGATCAGGTAGGTGACCCCAAACCTTCTCATGTGCATTTCAGGAATTGAACCTTTGATTCCTTGGTGAAAGGTGAGAGCATTTCCACAGGACCATCCGACAACCCATTCACAACTAAGGGTGAAGAAACAATCTACATCTAAATATTGATAAAATTATTCATGTAGTGCATTCTGATTATGGTAACAAACACTAACTATTAAAATCTCAAAAGCATTCATTCACAACTAAAGGCAAAAGGCATCCATATGAAATTCGGGAAATATCCATGCATCACTTTCTAAAAGGTAGTGGACTAAACATACCATAATTTCTTATATTTTATATTTATATTGTATTTTATATTGTAATTTTATATTTAGTGTTGAGAATAAGCAGATTTCACAAATATCTTCTCAGTAATTTTTTCCTTCTGAATTTGATACGTTTGCATTTAAGATTTTAATTATAATTATCAAACACTACTCATTAAATTTTACCTTGAGAGAAACAGTTTTTGCAATGAAATCATTTAGGAACTGGACATTAGTTCTCCATCTCTGGAGGTCTTCCTCCTTTTTTCTGTCTCGGCCTCTCCTTCTGTCACTAATTACCTCTCCTTGGTGACTAGTCTCACTGTATCTCCGAAAAGAAACATACAGCCTCGACAAGGATTGTGTTGTCAGGGTAAGCTTACTTTCACCGCTTAAAATCTTGTCACCTGGATAAATCAATAGTGAAATCATTATCAAAAACTAAGAAAAAAATCCTCTAACACTTTTGTCATCATTTCTATATCTATTATCTGACGTTATGTATGTTGTAGTGCTTGTCAAATGTATCAGTGTCTTATATTTTAAGACACTGATAATATATAATTTCCTTTATCCTGTAAGAATGATTCAGTGTGAAATCAGACTACTGAAACATCAACAGATTGTTGTTCAATCTTTGTTTACTTGACACCACTGAATTTGGCTCTTGATGGAGCCAAAATAGTCGCTCTGATAAAATATGATTTTAACAATTTCACAGTGTATAGCCATTTGGAGCATTTACTGCAAATGTCATATATGTGCGCATGAATTTACCTATGTTCTATTTTTAGCCATACTGTAAGCAATTGATAAACAATTGAGGTGATAAAGTTTACAAATTTTACAAAAAGCAGACAACTTAATTATTTACATTTTGTGAAAAAATGTACAATGTGGAATTGTTAATTGGGTCATGTAAAAAAACTGACAACTTTTATTGTAATTGTTTAAAAGGAATTTCTGCGTCTCTGCTTCAAAATGACAATGCTATTGAGTAACTGACTGATTACTCAAAACAGTAATGATAAATATTTCTAAAACGAAGGTCTATTAGTCATATGCTTGTAGACAATCTGTTAAACGTATCCTATAGATTAATAAGTATAATATTAGTATCGGGCCTCAAATGTCTAAACAAGACAATATTACACAATAACATTGCTTGACAATGAGATTAGAAAATCTAGTCATTCACGAACCATGCCAATTGGCCCAAAGTATCCGTGGATCAGCTCACTTACCACTTCTCCTGAGAAGAATGGCCAGTTCAGACACAATATCAGTCTCCTGTTTTCTGCTTTGAAACATGGCGGCTTTAAATTATCTCTTCGAAGGGGTATGTTTGATGAACCGTAAGTAAATGAATTCGTTTCTACAGCAGTACATTGTTAGGCCCAAAACCAGCTGAATAATAAATTCGACATCATTTGTTGACAAACCGTCCATCATGTCTTTTGCGTTTCATTGTGTATGGAAATTCAGGTGTATTAGAAAATTACTAATGAGGTATTAAGATTAGTAAATACTTTCTTCGGTTACCTGTTCAACATGGGATGTAATATCCTTGTTAGAAAGTAAAATAAAAGTCTAAATTTTCCAAAACTTTCATGTGATTTTTACCGGATGTGACATTTTTTGTTGTTGTAGTCTCGCACCTAATAATTTAATTTGTTGTTAAATTATTGCAAAATACATTCATAAGTAAAAGTTATAATAACCATTTTTTGGATGACGAAAAATATAGCCATATATATAGGCATATTTGTATTTCTTCAGATATTGATACATATTAATAATTTTCCTACTGTGTGCTGGAGGTGAAGGTCAGGTCAGATGGTGTCGTGACAAGAGACAGGTTCACAACTTTCGGTTATGTAGTCTTACGAGGCCCTTATAAACAGGCAAACATCCGTCATCAAAAGGCTAAATAAGGTAACAGAGGGTTTGTATTTTATTATATATCCCATACGTTAACATATAAATGTGTGAAGGCTGTGTCAATTCTGGCGGACTTTTACATGGATTGTTTACATTCCAGATGTAAGTGCTTGTGTTTGCCAAATACACGAGGAAAGGTCATATTGGTAAAAAATCTACTTTGGGGTTATTACATAATCGGACTCTACACATTGTGCATTTTAGTTTATATATACATCTATATAATTTTATATAAATTGGACGGTTTTAATATGGAAAATAGACAACACTGCAAAATCAAAACGACGTCTCAACAGAAATTATAACGGCATATGAAGTTATTTTTATATGGCATTTATCTGTTCTGATGTTGTTTTATATACACACATTCATTATCCTTACGAGAGGAATATGTCTTCTAATCTCTTCACTGCCATTAATTTCCTTCTGTACTGGTCTGAAATAGAATAGCAACATTTCCACTTGATGAATTGTTCATATATTGTTAAATGTGGCATAAGAAAAACCAAATACAAACTCAGAATGTTTCAATTTATTTCTTTAATGATTGTACTGTTTCCAATTAGATTGTGCTTGTAACTGGTTAAATAAAGTAATCATTAAGTTACCCAAATGTAGAATCATTTGATTTGAAATAGAAATACAAAATTCTATGAAACATTTTCAACTAAAATGGGTGCATCATAGATGTTTTACCAAGTCCCAATAGTCTAAGTGATAGTATGTATTTACTGAAGAAATACACTTTCTGTTTTCTAACTTTGTGCTAAAACAACAACTTATATCACTGACTTTGTTCTTCATTGACTAGTGTATAGTCATTGGGAACACTTAAATGTCATAGGCTAGCATGGATTTCAGTCATACTATAATCAGCAATGGAAATGATATAAGATTGTGATTTCAACAAAAAGTGAGACAAGTAATTTATAAATTATTCACTTTTTATGAAAAATGTACAAAATTGCATTGGGTCATGTCAAAAGTATGTCATCCTTTTTGTTGCAGGTATTGAAAAGAACTTTTTATATGTTTCTATTTCAAAAGATCATATATTAATTATTATTGTTATTTGCGATTTCAGATTTTGTTTTTGGTCGATTCTCCTTGGTCCCTTGCTATTTCAATTTTGGGACTAAGCAGAAAATTAAAATAGCCAAGACGTGCTGTCTTGGATGTGTAGAGTTAAAGTTTAATATCATTATTTCTTTGAAGTTCTTGGTTGATAGCTCTTAATCTCTATGGAGGTCGCCTCTGGTCTATTCTTTTGTGTTGTCCAATTTTTGGACTGATTGATGATCAGCAAGACAAAATGACTGACAAGACACCATCTTTGATTTTGACATTTATATTTTATTATCATTGTATCTTTAGGGAGAGGGCTTATATAAGTTTTAACCTGTTGATTAATACCCATTGAAATTTTTCAATACAGTCTTTGTGAAATGAAAAACTTTATCTTGAGAAGTTCTTGATGGATTATTCTTTCTACATAATGCATTATAGTTGCATATCTAGGTATCCTTTGGTGTTGTACAAAAAGTAAATGAACGACTGGTGGCCATCTTAAATTTTGACGAATCAAGTTATTATTATTATTTCTCAGAGAGTACTTGACAGAAAATTCCTACATCTGTTTGATTAATGTTCCTTCATGAAACATATTTATGTGGAATACAAGATTGGACAAAGTCCCTGTGTCCACGCACAGGCAATTTTCCAGACCAGAGCTCTGTAACAGTTTAAGATAACTACTGAAAACTATGCCCATTTATCAAGCTAATACTCTAGTAGTGCATTTTGCTATGGAGAAATACCCTTTTCTTTTCATAGAGAAAGATAGCCTTAGGCCAAATAACAAATTAGAGGTTTTCTGGACCATAGCTCCGAACCCTTTAAGATAACTACTAAAAACTTTTTACAGTTATGAAGCTAGTATACTAGCAGTGGAAATTGCTTGATAAAAGTTCTCCATTAAATCCTTTTTTCTGTTACCTAGCAAAGAGATCGGCAAAATTTCAGTTTTTTGCCGGAACCATAACTCTGTAACTGAGCAAATTCTTGAAAATTATACTCCTCCTATAGGAATGATTATATTTTGCCCATATTTAGTCAGAATCATCTTTGGGTGAACGGAAATCAATTAGTATAAACAATGGATCTCTGCCCTCTAAGACAGGAGGTGCAGGGCCCATTAGAATAAATAGCGAAAATTCCTCAAAAATCTTACTCTTCTTGTAGATATGATTGGATTTTGCTAGAATTTGGTGTGAATGATTTTTTGGTGAAGGGGAATCAATTTTGTATCAATGGTGGATCTCAGCCCCCTAGGACAGGAGGGGAGGGGCTCAATAGGGGAAATGTGTTTGAAAACAGTTTATATCCCCATTCCATAACCATGTATAGCATTCCTGGGCATAAAGTGATAAACACAATCGTGATGTAAGAATTGGCTCTGGGGTCTGGTTCCACCCCCAGGGAATTAGTTTTCTTGTTATTTCTGTGAAACAGAGACCCACCCTTGAACCATTTATGGTAATGACTGGCATCAAGAGGTAAACGCAATCATGATGTCAGAATTGGCCCTTCGGCCTGGCCCTATCCCCAGGGACTAAGTTTCCTTGTTATATCTTTGGAGCTGTTGAGATCCCCACGTCATAACCATATACTTGTATAGTAATGTTGGGGATCAAGAGAAAGATACAATCATGATGTAAGAATTGGCCCAGGGGTCTGGCCCCACTCCAAGAGACTAGTTTCATGGTAATATCTTTGAAAAAATTGAGATCTCCACCCCTAAAACATATATGGCAATGCTGGGCATCAAGAGATAAACATATTCAAAATATAAAAACTGGTCTTGGATGTGGGCCCAAGCTTCTGGGTGAAAAAAACACACATTTGTTCTGTAAGAAAAGATCCTAAACTCTTACTGGGAATCAAAAGAGAAAGACAGTAATGATATAAGAATAGGGCCTCTTTGTTTCATGTTGCCATGGAAGTAGATTAGATACAGAGAGGCAAAGTTACAAATTTCTCTGTTTCCAAAGAATGCCAACAAAAGTTTTGAAGAACTACCTGAAACTTTGTACACTTAGTAGAATTTAGCAGTCTCTTGGTGATTTTGCTACTGAGGAAATTTCATTTGTGACATTTTTTCTTTTTCTGTTGCCTGTCAAAAAATAGCATTAATCATTGGCAATGCTTTACAATTTTATAAGTAACCCCTCATATTTATATTAATAATTATTGATAAATTATATAACAAACCTTACTAATTATAATAATTTTTTTGGTAACAGACAAACTACTTCAAAATATCAGTAACAGCTGTGGAATAGAGTTAAAACATGTACCCATTATTATACTGTATTAAACAGTGCACATTGGGATGATGTCACATTTTGTCTTATCTTGATCAACCAATATCATGAGGCAAGAGTTTGTTTAATTCATGGTACTGTATTATGTGTATATTTTTGTTTCAGTTTTCAAGTATTGAACCTGAAGAGAGCTCCTTACAAAGTGAAAATGAGTACTTCAGGAAAAGCTGTAACATCATCAGATGCAGAGCTGGACAGAGAATTCTTCAGTCCTCGTAATCCACGAGGAGAAAAGTCCATTTTTCTTGAATGTCCACCTGTTGGATTTGGTATGTGCTTGCCTGTACATTGTACCACATTGATTTGTAGATGACACAATTTGTCAGAAAGCATGACTGGCAGCCAGTACGTCTCATACATCATCTTAAGTCATATGTAAACTTTCAGACTGTTTCATGAAGTTCCATTGATGGGATTTAGCAGAAAATTGCTGGAATGATTATACCAGAAATTTTTTTGGGCCCGTTCAGACGTGTAATGTCATGATTGTGAAATCATAGTTTTCATAATCAGAACACATTTTGAGTTTTTCCATATATTCAAATTTTACTACCTTAGTAGTGTGATTTAGATAAAACTTGCCTGGAATGGTCGCATGATCTGCTTGATGGAGTGCTGTTTTCTCAGTTATTCTGAAAGCCTTCTGATTTTAGGTCACTTCATAAGTTACTCCTTGCCTTTTGTCTGCCATCATGTGTACTGTTTTTTTCTGTCACTCTTGTTTAATGATTTGATGGAAACATGCAAAGAATAAATACAACATACGTACACTGCTAAAATTTGGAAATGTATTCTCATTCATAATTGTTCTCACTACAACTACTGCTATTAACAGATAACACTGTGAAGACAAGTGAGCCTCTTGTTTACTTTTTCTTTGTTAATGGTTGAGTGGCCATTTTATGTAAGAGACTATTGTAACAGTGTGGTAAACCTTGTATGTAAGACTGTATTGTAACAGTGTGGTAAACCTTGTATGTAAGACTG